GGGGGGGGGGGGGGGGGAAGCTTGGGATCCAGTGAAATATTCCTCTGCCTGAGTGAGAGCCAAGAAGAAAGGAACACTGTACCCCCTAGGATGAAGGAACATGGGACAGTGGTTCTAGGAGCCAGTACTGAGGGGAGGTCATCCCTATCCTTAGGAGTGAGAGACCTGGGATGAGGGTGGGGATGAAAGGGGGCCTAGTGGTAGGAGTCCTGGGGGGAGTCAGAGATGGCTTGTGGTCCACCCAGTAACAATATAGGCTGATCATTAGAGAATGTAGATGCTGGTTTGAGTGCCAGGGGAACTAATGGGACTAGAGAATATGGTGAAAGATTCAGGTAGTGAAGTACAATAGAGGGAAAGAGGGATTGAAGCTCTGAGGGGCTCCACAGCCCAAATGCCCAGAGGTAGAACAATAATCACCCAGCATCACCTTCTGGAAATGGCTTTACCTTACCTTGCCTTGCTTTACCTTTCTTTACCTTACTTTACCTTACCTTACTTTACTTTACTTTACTTTATCCACCCAACTCCCAAATGATTCTGGGTGCCTTGCAACTAAAAGCCAACTTATTAAAAGAAAATAAAAATGCAAGAGACCAGATGAACCAAATGCAAAAAAAAAAAAAATGAAAGCAAAAGAAATCAAAACAAAACAGCAAAGCAAAGCACGCCCAAGCCAAAAAGCTATCCAAGTAGGAGTGGAACCAACATAGTACAATGCTCCCACATCTAAACTTAGACAGCCTGTCTGGAAGGATACTGTGGCTGTCGGTACTGAAAGCTGCTGAGAGGTAGAGGAGGACCAAGAGGATCACATTCCCCTTGTCTTTTTCCCAACGTTGGTCATCCCACAGGATGACCAAAACAGTGGCTAGACTGATCACTGGGACTGACCAATACAATGCCAGTACTTCAGTACCTACTGGCTGCTAGTTCATAATTGGGCCAATGTTCCCTCTAATTTCTTTTTTTAATAATATTTTTATTAAAGTTTTACATATATAAAAGCTAATACAGAACTAAAAGATGCTACAAACAAAAAGGAAAAAAAAAAGAGACAGTAGAAAAAGAAAAGAGAGAAGAGAAAGAAATATAAAAGATGACTTCCCCCTCCCTCCAAACAAGTATATGCATTAACAGTAACTTAACACCTTCTCTAATATTATAGAAGAAAAACCCTCCATCCCATTTCTCATCCCTAAATAATAACCAAATTATAAAAAATATTCATCAATCAGTCTAATCAGCAAAAGCATTAAGAGTACCAGTGATAATAAACTATATATTTTAAACTTAAACACATACATCTCTTTTGCATTTTAACTTCTAAATTTTTTCTGAGAAATAAAACATAAAAAATCTCTCCCCATAAGCATAAGAAAGACCAATAATAATCACATGTGTATTTTAAACTAAACCAAATAAATCACTTTTACAGGCGTAAATCATTGTCTTACAGTCCAGGTCAGAAAAAAGAAAATTCAATATTAACAACCCAGGATCAAAACTTATACAATTTAACCCTGATATGAAGTCCACTTTAAATTCCTGTTCCCTCTAATTTCTGACAGGCTATGAATGGGGAAAACAAATTGCTTTGTGCAGCTTTTTCCAAACCAAATACAAATTTGTGCACCACAATATGAGCATACAAGTAAATTGCAAATACAAAAATGACAACAATTATAATTTTATTTTTGCTTAATTTCACATTTATTTGTTAAACTTATATGGCCACTTATCTTAAATATACTAATCCTAGTCAGCTCACAACAAACCAATAAAAACAACCATAAAACAATCATGTACATGAAGCAGCACAATTTCCTCCCATTGTGTTCCAACTGATAACTGCAATCAATATTTTGTAAGGATTTAAAATTGTTTCTTGGAGGGGGGTAGGAATTTGATGTTGTAATGACCAAAGTTAAAAGAAAAAGGGAAGAAATAAAAGCATAATACAAAAAAGCATTTAGATAGCCACCTCTCTTTCATTTTTTTCTCATTCTTTCCTTTTTCTCTGGATATTTTGAACTTACTTAAATTTTAATTATTATTAATTTTAAAAATTGAATTTTTTATAAACTTAGCAGTGTGGCCTGTAACTCAACAGATATTAAACCTGTTTTGGAGGGAGGAGGGAAATTAATTAAACCTTTTTTGGAGGGAGGAGGAAAATTGATTGATTGATTATTGGAAGAAGGTGCTCCTTTGTGCTCAGGAGATTCTGGGGTCTGGAACAGGTTGGCTACAACTGCAAGGCTGGGTAACAAAAACCCTGCCTTCCTGCTGTCCTGGGCAAAAGGCACCAATCCTTGTTACCTTCTGGACCATCTACTCCTGATAGAAACTGCCCACCCAATTCATGCAAGCCCAATGGCAGTGTTGTGGGTTCCCACCCCACCTCTGGAAGGTCAGGCAGTTGGTCAGGGGTGCCAAGGATGGCATTCTTGGTTATAGCTTCCTCACTTTAGGGTAGCATGACCCCCTCCTTCAGAATGGCTCCTTCCATGTAAAATTTTGCTTTTCCACAAAGCTTTTGGAGAAAAGAATCTCCTATAAAGCAGACTGCTATATTAGAGGTTGTCAGTTACCCAGTGTATGTCAGGATGTTTTATTCCAGTTTTATGTATGTTTTTCTGTGTTATGATTGTAAGCCACCTAGAATCCATGGAGTACATGTATTTGTAAGCCAATGTGGAAAATAACTAAATATACACAATACACAATTTCCTAAATATAATTCCAACAATGTTCATGTGTTTGATCCTCATTTGCTTTATTGCTTTTTCTTAACAAAACAAAACAAAACAGTGCTTGCCAAAGACATTTTGCTTCCTGACATGGAGCCTAAATGCTGCCTACTGTGCAATGCAACAGACCCCCCTAGATCCAAGAACTCCGTAACAATTCTAAAGCTCGCTCTAGAATATGTTAAACTACCCTGCCAAATAAAAGCTTTATCTGATACCCTTGAGTTTCTGTAACTTACAGTTGAGAAGATCCAGACTTAAAGTACTACCTCCCTAATTTTAGATGGCAGAGGAGATGAAGAAAGATCTTCGATCAAAGATTTCAACAGGGTTACGTGAAAAGTTAAGCAAGATTGGACTTGGTTACTACTTGGATAAGAGAGAACTAGGACATTTCAGAGTTCTAGCCTAAAGTCAGAAGTAAAAACAAACAAACAAACAAACCACTTCTCTGTTATTGCCAAGAAAACTACATGGATATATCTATGAAATCACCAGGAGCTGAGCTCAATTTGAAGAAAAGTTTATATTCTGATATACAAAGAGATGGATCTTTAGATACTTACTTTCAAACCAATTTAGGACCTTATATTGTCCATTAACATTCTTTTTTTCTATTTTGGCCAGTCAGATAGCATTAGTGTTGCTCCTGGAGTGTTTGTGATCTTCTCAGCTGTAAAGCAGAAAGCATTGAGGGACCATATTAAATGTTTTCTCCATTCCTTAGGGATAATGTTCCCACCCATATTTGTAGATAGCGGGTATGGATGGTATATGAATCTCTCTACAAGAAGAAGCCTAAAATGTTGGATACATATCTGGCATGATGACTGAAGTTATCCAAGACTTTGCAATACCTGCTGTTGATTAAGATGTATTTGCCAAAAATACAATGGGATTAATACTAGTATAATTAATAAATATGGATCTGTACATATTAAATTCAGCTTATTTCCACTCTGTAATGGTGTCCATTTGTTGTTGTTTAGTCGTTAAGTCGTGTCCGACTCTTCGTGACCCCATGAACCATATTGCGCCAGGCCTTCCTGTCCTGGTGTCCATTTGGTATATCCTTAATGTCAGCTCCTGTCATGTGCGAATAATGTCCCCTGTTCATAGTGTGGTAATTACCATGAGTCATGTATATTTACACAATTCAGCTGTAGTTGCTTTCTGTTCTTTTTGAAACAAAAGATGTTCATTAAAAATGGAGCCGAACAGAAGAATAGGGGCCATAAAATATTACAGACAGAATTATTCACATTAGGTAAAATCTAGTTTCAGTGATGGAAAATGCTAATTGGAGGCAGTTACTAGAAATTATGAAGTTCAGCTTTTTCATTTTTATCTGACTTATCCTTATCAGTCTTTCCCCAGGTAGAAAAGCATATAATTTCAAATGCTCAAAGAAACCTAGATTCCCTTGAAGGGTCTTAGGTGTTATTAGGCCCAGCCTAATGCAGTGGCAGCATTTTCTAGATCAAAATGTTGAATTAGCTTCCAGTTAAAATCTCTGTTTTTCAATCCAATCATCACAAAGTTAATTCTTACATTTCTTGTTGACTAGCGTTGAGTAGCAACCTTCCTGTCTTTGTGACGGGTATTGTTGGGTATATTTGAATAGAAGGATGAAGGAACTACATATTGAAGAGGCCCCAGTTTGTTTGTTTTGTCCATAGAATTACAACCATTTCCATCTTCATAATCCCAGTCTTTGGACTGGAATTATTTATGTTGCAGCTTCATTATGTTGTTGGCTCTTGTTCAGCTTGTGATCCACTAAAACACCCAGATCCTTTTATGTATAAATGGAAGGAGCAAATTTCCATTTCGTTGTGGCAGCAGTTGTGATTATCGGAGTTACCTATTACTTATTGGTCTTTACAGATAACAAGATTGTCTCTCATTTGCTGGTGGCTGAACCAGAGAAGATCTATGCCATGCCTGACCCCACTGTGCCTGACAGTGACATCAAGGCTCTCACCACACTTTGTGATTTGGCAGACAGAGAACTGGTGGTCATTATTGGATGGGCTAAGCATATTCCAGGTACATACTCTGTATCTTACTCGAATTCTGTTTTTATGACATATTATTTTCTGATGTATGCTTGTAATATTTCAGTGTGGCTTGAACATGACTTGCACATTCTTTTAATAATTATTACAATAAATAGGATTATAAATGTGACTTCAGAGATAGGTGTAAGGGCCATATCTCTAGCCCTGCTATGCCATTGTACACCTGGTCTACCCTGTCTACCAAAGTTTTCCCACTGATCTGTACATCTAAAGATAAATTCCTGTGCCTGAATAACTACCAATACATACAATAAGAAAGCCCATTTCATCTTTTTCTGTATGTGAATTTCTTTATACTGTTATATCCTCCTTGTAAAATCCATGGTTTTTCATTGGTAATCTAGGGGTATCTGGCCAACTGATGGTTTTTTTTTTTTAAGGAACATCTGGTAAAAGTGAACTTGAATGTTGAAGTACGCCAGCTTACCCAACCATTTTATTTCTGTCATTTGCAAGGGAGTAGAGCTAGTTAGAACTGTCCTGCCTGCACACTGGTATAATACAGTATATCAGTGATACTTCTGGTGGGGTCTAAAGAAGGGAGGAGGTTAAAATATTCTTATTTAATGTTGAACAAAATAGAAAGGCGTTTGTTTAATTGCCACAAGATGGGTTTTTGGGGTTTTTTTGGCCACTTGAACATTCAAAAGTATGTTAAAGATCAATATGCATGTGCAAGAATACTGTGGCAATCCTTTCATTTGCTACCTACAATCTACATTAAGGAAAGATTTGTTTGCTTATATGTCATATGCAAGGCAAAATGAAGTAACATTTTAGAGGCCAAATAAGTAACATCAAAGGGCTAAGGATTACACTTTTCTTGGTAGGAATAAAATAGCTATTTGTTTGGTTTGAATTTTTATGTGGATTGATGATGTATCTCCAAATCTGTGTGCAAAGCAGACCTTACGCGCATACTAAAATCTGCACTTTTTCAAATTTTGCAATACAGTATGCAATTCAAATATTGTACATGAAAATGTATACATTAATGAAAGATGCACATGCAGACATACATATTAGGAGACATGCATTTTATTAGGAGGAAATTTGTAAGCACATATTTAAAAAGTGCACCAAAATGGATATTCATTTTGTTCAGATTTGGACAAGTGAAATGAAATAAAATGTACAGTTTGAAAAGTGAGAAACAAGGAAAGTGACACTGAAAGATTTGCTTCTTCCTATTAGCTGCCTTCACTGGAATTGTGTCTACCCACAGACCTCCTCCTCCCTCATACAAACACAAACACGCGTGTGCACACACACACACATACACTCGTACTTCAGCTCTGATTTGGGATATCCTTTTCCCCTGGAGTGCTGAGAAGCCTGCGTGGATATTATAGCACTCCACTCCCTTAACTGCTTTGTGAATTAATAGACCAGACAGTTTGCAGAGCTGTCATTTTTTTTCTTTTCAAAGATGTTGAATTCAGGAGATGAGAAGATGAAGAATGAAATACCTATTCATGTCTTAGCTAGATGAAAGGCTAAATTTGTGCATTTCACTCAGTGCCCTAAAATAGCTGTATTCCTCTACTTCATGTCTTCAGACAATTGTTTTTGTTTAAAAACACCCTTAATTTTATGATAAACTTAATCTATAGTGGAGCAGTTTTGACTTTTTCCAAACTTTATGTGATATTCAGCCTACTTTTAGAGCAATCGCTTTCCTACTCAGAGCTGGTTCAAGGCTTCTTGCTGCCCGAGGCAAAGCAGCAGAGGGCACTGCAGACAAGCTTGACTTCAAAGAGTGCTTGGAGCCAACCACAGCCAGTCTGTTCACTGAGTCTGTTACCAGGAGCATGGAGTTCCCTTGGTCCACTGACTATTCACAGTTCAGTATGCTATATAGTCCTATGTATCTGAAGCACACCTACCCGAAAGGCTGTTTCCCATTATAAGCCTGCTTGGGCTTTTAGGTCCATAGAAGAGATCCTTTTCTTGTCCTACCACTCCTGGAGTTACCTGGGTTTTTTTGGTGGTTGCGATCAGGTTTTACAGGTAGTTTGCCAAGGCAGAGGAGTTGAGTTCCCTCTCTGTTATCCTTCTGCAAGCAGGCAATAAAATAAAATTAATTTAATTTAAAAATCAGGTAGGCCTTTGGGAGATAAGCTTGGACTGACTGTTAATGTCAGGTTTAATTTATTGGGTATGGTCTGTTTTACTGATAGGTTTTAACTGTATTTTTACTTACAAAGATGTTGTCCTTGTGGAAAGGGTGTAATCAAAATTTCTATATTCCTGCTTCTATAAGGATTTTTATAATACTTTGCTATATCTTTGGATTTGCAAAATCCCTGATTGCCCAAATCTTTTTGTTAACTATTTATTTGTGGACCAGAATTCTATATTTTAATTGGAAGTTGTAAGATTCTTTTGGTCATCTTGTCAAGCATTCTGTTTTAGGAAAGAATGAGATGGAGTTAAATAGCATAACAATTTATATGCTTGTTAAGGGTTGTGTTGCTTAATTTTATTGGAACTTTATTAATATTGTTTTTGTTTTGTTGTCTATTGAGGTTATGAAGTTGACTATTGGTGAGTGACTATAGTACAAGTGAATTGCATTTTTATTTGTATTTCTACACATAATGGTGTATTTTTATTTTTAACTCCTTCCATATGCATTCCCTTATTATTCCCAATCTGCTCCAGAGAGTAGGAGCGCTATTTGGGGTAGCATAGCTGTGGCTTGGGGAAAAGGGAAGGACTTGTAATTGTTATGAACATTTGCAAAAATCAAATCAAAATAAAACGAAAACACCTTCCTTCCTATTCTGTTCAAAGAAATCTTGTCTGGAGTAAAAAGTCTCCTACAAACAACTGGACACAATTTAAAATTAAATTTGGTATTAAAAATACCAAAATTACTTGGTAATTTTGATTTGATTTGCAGGGACAAAACAATAAAACCAAATATTCTTACTTATGCTTTTGTTACTTTTACATGGCCTATTTATATGGCCTACCATGTTACATAGCCCACCATGACCTTTAACATAGGATGTCCACCCCATACTCTCTGATCAACAGAACAAATGCAGGTTCTGGTCTGTGATTCTTTAATTAGCTAGAGAGAAATCCACGGAAACTGGTGTGTCTATGTAAATAGTCCTCGCTCATTTAGGACAATTGTATTTATCCTTAGAATTTCAGTCCATAACTGATAGTTTTGCACGTAGCTTTGCTTCTGATGCTTTTTTGTTTATTTGCTTGTTTTCTCTTTACTGCCATCTAAACACTCTGATTTAGATAACTGCCTTTCCCACTGAAATGTGAACAATATAAAGCAGAATGCTAAATTATTGTAATTATTTTCTGAAACCAAATAATAAACAATTATTGATATACATCTAAATCATAATTTGTTTGGTGGGATGGGAACACATGCTCTGATCTGCTCCATATTTTCTTCACTGCAGAAATTTAGCTGTTCAGAGTTTGCATCACAAATGGCTTATAAACGAGCTTTTGAATCATGAGCAATGTTTTTCTGGTACAGTTAACTTATTTCTGTCTCCTTAAACTAGTTTGTCTTTATGCTTTGAATGCTACAGTAATTTCTTTAATCAAATTGATGGAAGTCCCTTTCCCAGCCCACACTGAAACCAATTTATTGGTCATGATACACCAGCTATGTTACTAACAGACGTAACGAACTGTCAGGCAATATCGCAGTGAAGCTAATTTGAAGTCATTAGGTGTGCAGCGTTCAGGCAACAATTTGTTACAGTGGTTAGGAACACAGCTGACATTTCTGAATGGCTTTGTTCAGAGTAGGTCTAGATGAGCCCAAGCAAATTGTAAACTAATTTAAACATCACTCTGTATTATACTAGCTACTTTGTCTTACACTGGTTGCTAATAAAGCACCCCAGATTAAGTCAAAGCTAGTTAAATAGGTGAGTTTGAGTTTCAACTCTAGACAATGCCTACGTCGGTCTTACCAATATGTAGGCATTCTCCCTAGAGGCCAGTCAATAATGCATTATGGGGATTGCAAAATATATTTATCAGTTTGATTTGTACTATGAATACGATACAGGGCTGAGGTTTGCTTATAGGCATAGAAGAAAATGACTGAAAGGCAGCAAGAGAGAACAACAGCTTATCCTTATGGTTAGCAGCGACCTGTTGGGTGGTTGAGATGTTCTCAGTTACAGATTGGGAATCAGAAACAGTTGTCAGCTATTGAGGAATATTTAAACAGCAGACCAGCTTCAGAGGTAATTCAGGAGCTGACTTATGATGCCCATTTGCTGGAAATTAAAAAACAAAATGAAAAGCTGACTGTTCTATATATATAGAACAAAAGAATTCAACTGTTTTTCTATATATACATGGATGCCCACATGACAGACATTTCAACAACATATTTCTCAGTCAGATTTTTTTAAAACCACCCTCTTTCATCATCTATTTAGAAATTCATATCCTGCTTTTTAAGTACCTCCGATGTTTTACAATGTAGTAAAAAGTATACACATATATTATTATGTGCACCTAATGTGTGTCTGCTACAAATGCACACTCTATACACACTAGTACACATATGCTATTCATATAATATTGTTCATTTTTATGGTAAAAATGGATCTATTCAGTATTATACTTAATGTTTTTTTTTTTAAATTGCCATTGAGTTCAACAGAGCTTATTTGTAGATAAGAGGATAGAGGATTGGCGCTAAAGGTATTTTATAGGGTGTCATTTGTAATTAATTTTATCTAAAGGATTTTGACTTTAAAATACTGAACTTAGGGGAAATATCTGTATCCCATAAAAATTTTATCTACTTTTCAACTTTGGAAGATTTTACTGAAAATTTTGAATGATGGTTTCTAGTTTATTGTTTGATCTTATTAAATATGTGTGCGTGCCATAAATTCCATTAATAGTTTCATGCTGCTGTAGCTTGCATGTACAATAAGCTTTTATGTTCTTCTGCAGAAAAATGTA